GAACAATAATCAAAATACCTATAATATTTATATATACATGATGATTATGTACCTCAGTTTACGGCATGCACATGCATCGTGACAATAACATGTCGTGCATGTGAATATATATAATTTAGATACTTGACAATAGCATCCTTTGTTTATCACAATAGTTATATGAACAATTTTTAAACGAAATGTTGACTTTTGCACATGCCATACCTTATTCGCTTAACAGGTCTTTTATAACAAGAAATGCCGGCGATATACAACGTCTTTATGCAATACGGATGTTAAAAGCAAGTTCAGTATATTCGGCCGACATACAGTTTTGTGCAACGAAAGGGAAAATAGATCAGGGCCTTTTTTAACATATATACTGGGGGGGCCAAGGCCCCCCCACCCTCCATGTTGCCCCCCCCCAGTTCACTATTTTGGCCCCCCAGTGAAAATCCCCTTTTTGAAAGATATTAACAAAAAATGAAGAATATTGAATAATAATTTAGCTCTGCGACAGTGTATTACTATTAGCACTCTTGTATTCTGTAACCCAACCTTTGTCGAATGTAACTCGACGAATGTTATTTGTCGAGACAGTCGAGCACAAAAACGGCTTAAATAGACAAATAGATTCATCAATGATCAATCATTTTTCTGTTGTAATGTACAATATTTCAAATGCATCTTTACCTTTACAAATATACATGGATATTTGAGTGTACAGAGATTATCCAGTTTAAAGAAAATATTCTTCAGACTGGAAAATACACTAAACTGTCAAATATACACTCCATTACTCCCTGTTGATATTGACACACATGTTGTACCTTTGATATTACATTTGGTAAGACGTAAGTTAACTTTATATTTTTTGTGCGTTTTCCATATTTTTATCTGAGATACAAATACAGTTTTTAGAATAAATTTGAAGGCTAAGAATATAGGAAACGGCGTTTCTTGACTATACTGATTTCAAAAATCTCCCGGGTGCCCCCTAGCTTTCGGCCATGATCGACATTCCTGCTTCTTTCCGCTAGTGGGGAAGCCCTTTTTTGCCAATGGCCCACCCACTCGAAATTTCTTAAAAAAGGCCCTGAAATAGATTGCTTACCCTCTCACGGCGTTGACAAAGGCAGATTTTCCACAACCACTTGACCCAACTAAGGCAAAATTTTGGACAATAAACTACCCATTTAACTTAAATTTATACCCGTCTACAGTATGTACATGTCTGCTTCCGTTTCAATAATAGGGAGCTTTAGCAGTGACTACGAGTACGACTACGAGTGCGAGATTCGTCATTCTCGTGCGTTGTTTGCTTACGCCATCAGCCAAAACTCGTAGTCGTTGGGCTTTCGAGTACGAAATTTGCCAAAAACTCGTACTCAAAAGCCCAACGACTACGAGTTTTGTCTGAGGCGTAAGCAAACAACGCACGAGAATGACGAATCTCGTACTCGTAGTCGTACTCGTAGTCACTGCTAAAGCTCCCTAATAGTTCGTTCAAAGCGGTTGCCAACTGTACTGACGTTCAAGCTTATAATTCTTATGCTAATCAGTTCTAAGAAAACCCTCTCTCGCTTTGAATGGCAGAAGCAAAATGTAGCTATAATGGATCGTTTGCATTAATTTTTAACTTCAGGGCCCGTTGTTCAAAAGCCGGTTAACGCTAACCTATATGGTTAAATTTTAAACTTCTTTAGAGTTGCGCCGCAGAAAGCCCGGTTTCGTTAACCCTGACTTAAAATTGATAAAAAAATTTAACCCATATACATATATAGCATGCATGTGATTTTAGCATGCATGTGATTCATGCATGAGGGTTAAACCTCGGCCTAACTCGGTCTGACATACATTTCTTAAGATTTTTCTTTTTGGTTATTGTGTTGTCGTTCTCAGCTGTTCATAACATTTCGTTCGGAAGCGAACGGCCACTGCGAAGGTATTTTTCCCCTTGCGGTCGTCTGCGGTTTCTATCGGTTGACCGGAACCGAAGCGCGAACGCAGTGTTAGGTTATTTCTGGACAGTACTGTATTCATAATCAAGAACATTAAATCATAAAAGGTATCGAAAAACATTAATCTTTAGAAAATCCAAAGATTTACTCAACTTAGTGGAAACTATGTATTGCACATTAGATCATGCACTAGCAGCTAGAATTATAATAAATTCGACTATACTACCAGATCCTCGGTCATGTTTCAAAATCTCAACAGGAAGCCTATTGAACCTCAAAAAACGCAATCATTTCATGACAACATAAAGCCATTAAAGGCCTCCCTCCATAAGGCATAGGAGAATTATGCTAAACTTGCGAAAATAGTGGTTATGAACTGCGTCATTATAATTTAAAGCTAATCCATATAATTATAACTTACTATACCCAATCACTTCAACTCTGCTATATGAATCAAATTCTGAGCAAACAAACAACTATTATATGAAATACAAACACCATAGAGTTCATATTGAGTTATGCGCCAATCATACTGTAATATGTCATTGTATGAGATGTTTTCCAAATTTTTCATTGGTGTAAACACAGCAAAGACTTTATCTTAATTCCAGACTTACCTCGAAATATTTCCACCTTTTTTCTTATAATATTTTTTGATTTGAACTTCACCGGCCACGTTTTTGCTGCTTTCTGAAGGGTAGGCAAGTTTTTCATGATGACATCGACCAAGAGTCTAAAATCCCATCTATCTTTGTAGTGGCTGCTAACGAGGAAGATCTCGCCTTCACGAATGCCCAAAGCTTTTAAATTTTGGAAATAGTTATCCCGAACTTCTGCCAATACGTCGTTGATATCACGATTTTTTCTTTTGGCTTCGTTCTCTTCATCCAGGTCCACTTTCGTACGCACTAAAAGAAACGATTTTTCCATGGACTTGATTTTCCGCGCTATCTCGAGTTCTTCTGCTCTAAATCTCGTTTCTGTCAAAATCAAAAACGAATCGCACGACTTAAATTCGTCTGAATATATTTTTTCCTTGATTGCAGGTAGATCCACCAAAATTATTCTCGGTTCGTCGGGATAAGGATAAAAGGCAGGTTCATTTTTTTTTTCAAAAATGCCTGTTTTTGCCGCCTGTTCGTCGTTGTCATCAATTCTGTGAAAGAAAATTGATAGGAATAATCAGCAAAAATATGAATGTTTTGAAAACCGGGTTCTATGTGTTCTAATGTACATGGATGAGGATGTTTTGATCAAGGGGAAGGCTGGGAAAAGATTGTATTAGCAATAGGCAAATATTGCAACTGATAGACAAAATGAAAGTTGCCAATAAATACAATTTCCACGTCCTTAATGTTGTCTGTATAATGAGCATGCACAATATACGGAACGGAATAAACTTGTTTTAAAGTCCTTTTTTTATTGCATGATATGTTCGGATTTACATATTGTTTGGGTTTCCCAAGTGGGCATGCAACGACTGTATTAAACGGCTAAAATTTTATTGGAATGTCATGCAGTTATTGCGATATAATATATAAATATGGATTGTACGGAGAAAAAGTACTTAATCGATAGAAAGATATATTGATATAACAACAAGTTTTCAGAGCGTATAAGAAACGCAAACTGAGAATAAAATGCCAAATAATTCTGCAAAAGTGATATCGTTTGAACTTCGCACAGCAGAGACGCAGACCATAATCGTTTACTACCCTCTTTAGAGACTACGTGGAACGTCGATTAACAAAATTATACATGCTTCGCAACCGGAAATACGAAAGTGACCTGCTGTTATATGAATACATACTATAATATGGTTTATTGTCAAATTTGAATAAGCTTTTATATCGCGATATCGAAACTAAAAATATATGACGATTGCGTTTTCTCGTTTTTTTGTACAATGAGTTTACACATGGTTCCCATACACCCGCAGTTTAGTGTCCTTAGAAACTTACGAATTTCATAGCTAACACACGAGACATGAAAACCACTACCGACCTTGCAAATATATGTAACTTCGATGGTTTGTTGTGACAAGATGGCTTATGTGTATGTAAAGCGTATTTGTAGCTATTAAACTAAAAGAAAGTTAACTCCAGCTGCAAACGGACTAAGTGTGATATAGATACTTATTACTGCATCTCTTACCCTCTAAAAGCGTTAATAAAACTTGATTTCCCGACTTTTGTCGTTCCTGTGACGCCAATTTTAATTTGTACATCTCGAAAGTTCTCGAGTTTTTCTTTCATTAATTTCTTCGCTCCCACGACGCCTTTCTCTTCAATAAAACATTTAGTACTATCCTCTTCTTTGTCGATACTTCCATAGTCCGGTTTGCCCTATTTTGGTTTAGACGTAGATGATCCCATAGCGAATTAGAGCGTTCGCAGTAATTTGAGCGTTGGCGTGTTTGTGAAAACGAAACTGGCAGAGCGTATCAACTACAATACTACATTATTATGTTAAAATCTGAAATGTACATGTCAAATGAATGAAGATAGCAGTTGATTGGTTTATTTGGCAGGGATATTCTTCTTAGATTAAATAATTTTCCAAATCACATTCATATTCCTCTAGCGGTCGCGGAGTGCCGTACGAGTGTATTAGTCTATTATAAATCTGCTGAGAGATTTCATTAGACTTTATTCGTACTTATATTGCACTGCAAAATAAAACAAATTACACTAACAAAAGATAGAACTACAGAAAACAGGGATTGGAAACGAACACATGATCAGTGGCGTAGCCAGCACGATAATTGAGGGGGGGGGATATTCATGCATGCATTTCAGCAAGAAAATTTTTAAAATTTATTGCTTTAGATCCTTGCTTTTCAAGTTGTTTTGAGAGCGATTGACATAACATTTAGCGAAGCAATTGCCGCTGTCTTTCTTCAACGTATGAAACACCAAAACGCATAACACTAAAACTATATTGTAATGAACGAAAACTTTTATGCATGAAAGTTTTGATCACATCTACAAGTGTTTATTACTACCACCTATATACAATTTCCAATCAGCAGTTTGAATTTCAAACTTTTTTTTTAACTACAGTAAATCCCCCCCACCCCACTTCCTACGTCCCTGTATCCATTGTTATAGAATTTTCGAATGGTTTGGACTTTCAAGTTCACATTTGTGAAGACCATTTCTTATTTTTTATTTAATATACCTTAAATAAGACACTATGGTATAAAAGTGCATGGGGGGACAATGACATATTCGTCCCCTCCTACTCCAAAAGTGAGGGACCTGTCCTCCCAGTCCTCCCATGATTTACGCCCCTTGCTTTCATTGAATGTATAACAATGGGGGGATAATTAGACATTCGTCCCCCCACAGTCCAAAAACTGGCCCCGTCCAAAAATTGGACCCGTCCCCCCTAGGATACAAAATAATTGTATTTAAATATTAACTTGGTATTTTCTATAGTCACCCTTTCACCGACCGTTCAAATGCATTGTCCCATATTACCAATGCCACTTCTTCCATTTCGTCTATAGATTGATTGAGAAAGTAGAATGTCGCAGCAAACGACAGACTGCCAGCGATCGCCAAGCCAATGAATGGAATGAACTTGGAAACCTGTTCAGCTCCAAGCAACCCTACGGCTGCTTTAGCTCCAAAGGATTTGATTAAATCAACAGCAGAAGACATTTGATATCTTGTAATAACGTCTTTAAACTTTTTTTCCAACAGTTCAAACGCTTCAGGAGCTGTGTTTTCAAGGCCAAATGCTCTGAAGTTCATATTCAGGGTAGCTTTAATTATTACGACATCAATAGCACATCCTATCCCGGGAAAAGGGATTGCCCCAGCACCACCAGATACGGCTGCCACGGCGACAGCTTTTGCTGTTCAAATTTGAAAAGAAATCTTTCAATATTGAAACAAATATACGTCAATGAATGATTTTTTGTTAATTGTTTGATGAAATTTGATTGCGATATCGGATTGAAATTTCTCACCATATGAAATATATTACCTAAATATATTACCTAAGCTATCTGAAAAACTGCATGATAACTTAATTATCTCATTAATCTCAATCTCTAATTGTATTATCTTTCATTTTTGAGAGACGACTATATGCTTCCAACAACGGTTTACTCTATTCCTGTGGTATTTTGTGAGCCTAAGCAACAAGGATATATAGGACCTGTTTGCCTCGTCCCTCTCTGCGCGCCCCTATGAGGATATAGATTTGAAATATCTTAATTTTATGGCTAGCAAACAAAAATCACTATAAATACTGCATGACATTTTTCGACTGCTATATATTCTGAACTGACTCCCAAACCCGACTTGATATCATTTTAGCTCATACAAGATTATACAATTGACACCTTTGACTTCATGATTATGTTGAAAAATTATGTAGAAAATCGTTATAAAATTCGATATACGGGGTGAATCTTGAAATTTTAAAGCGCAAATATTATGCATTTAAAAAACGAAGAATCCGGATAGATAGATACATAGCATAAGATGAAAACACCCAGCAATTTGCGTACCTTTAAGAAACCTCGCCTTTCTTTTTAGGCACTCCCGTGTAATATTTGTTAACGATATCGTCAGGCACTCTCTCTGAAGAATAGGTAACGCGTCGCTAATGGCTAGGATAAGACGGTCGAAATCCCATTTGTTTGTATCGTAGTTACTAATCAGAAAGACTTCTTTTTCACTGCATATTAAATCCGTAACATTTTCAAAGCAATTTTTTTTAATCTTCTCCAAAGTTTCTTCTTCGTTGATTGGTTTTCCTCCCTTTTTAGGGGTGAGGTCAACATCGATCTTGGTACGGATAAGAAAAAATGATTTGCCCATTTCTTTAACTTTCTTTGCAAGTTCCAAATCGGCGTTCCTGAAGCGGAATGCGGTAAAAATGAGGAAGGTGTCGTAATCGGCAAAACCAACTTTTCTACAATAGGTTGCAAGATCAGGATACTTAGGTGTGCCGATGCCAGGTAGGTCTACGAAGATAATGTTTTGATTGCTAGGGTGCTGGTATTCTGTTGGTGCCACCGTTGCTTCAACAACATCTACTTTTGCAGCTCGTTCATCGTCATCTGTAAGTCTGTACATAATAACTGCGTGTTTTTTTATTGAAGATACAGTACTGTCTAGAAATAACACTCAGTGGCGTAGTCAGTCAATGAACACCAAAATATTAGCATTGCGAGACAAATCGTCAGGCTGGCTACGCCAATGATAACACTGCGGTTGTGGTTAGGTTGCGGTTCGGTTTCGGTCGACCGATAGAAACCGCAGACGGTTGCCGTTCGCTTCCGAACGGAATTTTATGAAGAGCTGAGAACGACAACACAATAATCATATGGAAAACATCTTCAGAAATGTTTGTTAGACCGAGTTAGACCGAGGTTTAACCTGCGATCAGACCGATGTTTGACCTACGTTAACCCCCTTTTTTGTTATAGGTTATTTCTGGACAGTACTGTATATCAGATAATGTTACTAGAAATACATGCATGCAGCAACCCCTCGTTATTTCAAACCAAATACACAATTTCCTGAGTTAACCTGACCTAAACTTATATTATGAAATGACACAAAACTCAAATCAGTCTTATTATATTTTACCGAGTATATTATAGCTAATGTTTCCATCATTCAATACAAAAATAATCATAAAGCTAGTGTAAACATTGCCCGTTCAATTTTGCTGCATTATACCATGCCAGCAATTAAGTAACGGTTTAAAATCGAAGTTTCAAACAATTAAAACAGTACAAAATCTTCACAGACAAAGAAAAAACTTCAAATGTTATTTTATTCTGTAATTGCAGTCGACGCCGGCGGCTAAAAGTTTTATACTTTATAAATGTAGTGTGTATTTTTGATACCAAAATTCAAATTACACTTTCAAAAACACTTTTTGAAGTTAAAGCAAAGGTGTAATAGCCTTTAACAGGTTTATGCGTTTGCATAAAAAGCTGAAAATTTTACAAATAAACGCCATACAAAGCTGAAAAGTATACAAATACGGCTTTCTTATCGCGAAACAAATACGAAATAAACAAAGTAAACACGTACCCTTTGTCTTTGAAAACATTTATAAGTTTGCAGATTATGAATTATTCCTCTTACACGGCTTTGTCTTGACCGTATCCACGTTCATCTTTGCTAACTGTCATGCTTCATATATCTTGTTTCTTCTCGTTTTACTTTCTTTGCACCAAGTTTATGAAACGCTTTTACAAAAATGTTTACGAAATGACAGTTAATTTAAATTGCTGACGTTCTCATTGAAATACAAACTTTCTGTCTTAGCCAATCAGAACGTTCGTTGATAACCAGACGTTACTCGCGCATGCGCATAACTTACAAAACCACCCAACGTCGACCGTCCATGACAAAGAATTTGGACAACTTTGGATTCGGCTATGTTCTACCGGGTTCCGGGTGTAATTCCTAATCTCCGAGCGGAATTAGTACCCTCGCAGGCGCTCCGCGCCCGCTGGGGGATTATACGAAATAGATACAATTAGTTTTAACAGGAAACGTTGACAAACCACTCGCTTCTCGAACATCTTGCTTATCCCTCGCCGCCTAGTCAGTGTTGCGAGAAATTGTTAGTGCATACATAAAAAGATATGTTAGATATTGCTCGGGGAAAGGTATGCTTTTTGGTGCATACACAATGTCTCTGAGATTGAAAAAATATGCTTGTACGCGAACTATACGGTATACGGTTCATCTCAAAACTAGTATATTGTCACATTAATATCATCATTATCGAAGACATATAAGCAAAATCACTGATAAGCATAAGCAAAATTCTTCGTCCTTTGGCATGGCCAAGATTGAACTTTAAAATTTTAAACATATCTACAGTTTTATAAAGAAACGATAATTACCCTCTTATGGCATTCATGAATGCTGACTTTCCAACACCAGCCTCTCCAGTTATTCCAAAGCGAATTTTCACCTCTTTTGATCCCTCAAGCTTTTTCTTGAGAAAATTTTCAACATCTGTTACACCATTTTCATTAACGTATGTTCTCGTATCATCCATATATTGATCTACTAAATCTGCTGTCGTGTCTAGAGGAATTCAAAATCCGAAATAGTCAATTTTCGTGACATTCGAAAGTTCAAAAGCACTGGCAGCTGTGTCTTGTGAAGGAAGCTGATATGTAGGGAATAAAAAAATTAAGATGCTTGGAATTTACGTATGGTAGTTAGGTAAGAAAGTATCACTGCGCTACCGTTTTCGACCAATTGACAAAAATTATAGTCTATTATAACTGGTTCTTTCAACAACAAGGAAGGCTAATTAGGCCATCATGACAACACACTACCTGTTGTTATAGCCCGTATCAATTGGGGAAATTCCCATTTGTCTGGATCGTAGTTACTGATAAGAAATATATTTTCACGTGATAAACTCGTTCTTTTGAGAACAAAATCACGGATACTTGTCATTAACTCTTCTTCTCTAATCTCACTTTTACGTTTTTCCGACATGTATTCAATGTCCATTTTTGTACAAATGAGAAAGAATGACTTTTTCGCAGATTTGACTTTCTCTATTAATGCGATATCAAATTTTGTTACTCTGGGCGAAATAAATATCAGAAATCTTTCAAATTTATCCAGTTTGAATCGCTTCCAATACAGTTCAAGATTGGGATATTTGTCTGTGCCATAACCAGGTAGATCCCACAAGCTGACAAGGGGGTTTTGGCACATGTACTCAATGGGTTCTCCCCCTGTTTCCACAACATCAACCCTTGCTGCGTTCTCGTTTGCGTCGTTGATACTAGAAAAGAAATTAATACACATTTTTTAATAAATTTGTTCCTATGGCAGCATTTTGAAAACAGTTCAGAGCGCATGTTTAAACTTTTCTTTTCATCTGCACGTATTATGCACAGTCTTTCCGCAAGGCATAGACCACATCGTGGAGCTCGAGGAGATCTTGGGATGGCTCGTTTTAAGGTTGACCATTTCACACACACTTTTCTTCCGCTTCTTTTCAGTTTCCAGACATACTTAGAAAGTTCCGTTTCAGTTGCGTACAGTTCGTTTTTAACTGAATCCTTATGGTTTCTGTAGCGTTCTTTAAAAGAGGTAGTCGTCATTCCGATGTACTCTTTAGCGTCATTGTCATCGTCTGTAGTAACTGTAGCTTTGTACACGATGTTTTTTGTGTTGCAGTTTCCTTGTAATGGACATTCGGACTTGATTCGGCTATTGCATTTCGGCTTACTCGTTTCTTCCGTTGGGGTTAAGTTGGTTAGCAGTTGTTGATTATGTGCCGAGATCACGCTCTTGACATTTCCCATACACGAATAGCTTACTTATTTTTATTGTGTTTCTGTTAAAAATTTTGAGTAGCATGCACGTTAGATTTAGGGAAATGCTTGTCAATCAGCTTCAGGAATCTTTGTGCGACGTTGGTGTGCACGTTTTTGCTGTATGGTGGGTTGAACCATAATTATGATGCTCCTTTGTCGTTTTCTAGGGTTTTTTGGGTGGGTTAAATTCGTCGGTTGAATAAACTAATTTGGTGTTATAATGGCTGCGTTTAAGAGCACTTTCATAGGATGGTGGGGACGAGTCGAAGGATTATTTGTCGGATGAGAGGGTGGATAACTGATATAAGAAGCTGTTTTATGACTGCAGGAGAGTGGTTTTATCTGCTGTCAAGGAAAAGGGGTTCGTTGTTAGGTTTCCTGTAAGGGTGGGTTTCAATTTCCAGTTTCAAGGTTATAGGCGTTACGTCTAGGACGTTCACGATGTGGTTATGGGAAATGTCAAGAGCGTGATCTCGGCACATAATCAACAACTGCTAACCAACTTAATCACAACAGAAGAAACGAGTAAGCCGAAATGCAATAGCCGAATCAAGTCCGAATGTCCATTACAAGGAAACTGCAACACAAAAAACATCGTGTACAAAGCTACAGTTACTACAGACGATGACAATGACGCAAAAGAGTACATTGGAATGACGACAACTTCTTTTAAAGAACGCTACATAAACCATAAGAAGTCAATTAAAAACAAACTGAACGCAACTGAAACGGAACTTTCTAAGTATGTCTGGAAACTGAAAAGAAGCGGAAGAAAAGTGTGTGTGAAATGGTCAATCGTGAAACGAGCCATCCCAAGATCTGGAGCTCCACGATGTGGTTTATGTCTCGCGGAAAAACTATGTATAATACGTGCAGATGAAAAGAAAAGTTTAAACAAGCGTTCTGAACTGTTTTCAAAATGCTGCCATAGGAAAAAGTTTAATGCCGGAAATTTTAGGCGCGTGCACAAGCATAAGCGCGTGAGAGACGAGTAACCGTTGATGCATGACGTAATCAGTATTAAATAATTCAATAGCTATTAAGGATGTGTAGCCATATAGAAGCCAAACGTATTTAGTTAAAAGATAAGGCGTTGATTTTTGACTTAAATAGTTCTTATTTCTTACGAGCTTTTAACTGTAAGATAATGTAGCCTTCGAAGGGAATAGGATTCATGACAAAGGACGCAAAAACTAATATTACCCTTACGAAAAATCCACATGTTTTCACATGTGTGAAATTTCACATGTGGATTTGGAACCTGTGAAATTTCACATGTGAAGTTATGTGAAGGGCCATGTGAAATTTCACATGTGGATTTGGAACCTGTGATACTTCACATGTGAAATTTCATATATTCCTGATGCACATGTGAAATTTCACATGTGACATGTGAAGCCTGTCAAACAATGAAAATTTAATATATGACTTTGAAGAAGGTTTAAATAATTTATTTTTGTCTAATGACTTTTCGATCTACAAATTTCAAGTCTAATTAGTATAAAACATATATATTTACAAGAAAGTACAAAAACTTAGCAGTTAAATGTCCTCTGCAATATTGCTTCGTTTCTTCTTCACAATCCTTTCATCTTTGCACTTTTATGCCGCGGCGATTTTCACTGAAGATGCTGTTGCTTCGGAAAACCTTTTAATCACATGAGCTAAGATAAAACCAAACATGAGTGAGTTAACTTTGCAGCTTGCAGTACAAAAGAACATCTCCATTGCTAGTCATTATATATGCTACAAATTGTTTTAACCTACAAATGATCAACTGGTGTTTCTCAGGACTGATATGACTTAGCTATGGTTTTTCCATGACAGTCTTCACGTAAGAAGTGGTTGCACCAATAAAATGTTTAATCACATGGGCTATAAAAAAATAAATACTAAGGGCTAAGATTAGCAATATTCACAGATTGCATGGAACTTTACAATCACTTTTAAAACATAAATACAAGGGCTGTACTTACATATGATCAACTGGACTTTCACAAGATCTAACATAGGGCATATCCTTCCTTTTGTTTGCCAACAATATAATCAATAAAACTATATTGGAAAATCCAGCAACCCACTGGTTTCTAGAAAAAATAGAGTTCTGTTAAAGAAATTATATTTATACTTCATGAAAAAAGGATGGTTAAAATAATCGTAGGAATGATTTATTATAAATAGCACTGCTGTGGTTAACAGAGTTATAACCATCAGTTCATTTGACTGTAACCGCACTCTATTTAAAGGTCATTGCTGATTTAACTCTTCTTTTCTTAATTCAAGCATTAATTTTTGTTTTTTTCTCGAATTATCTTTTGTGTCTAGCTGATTATCTACTACCTCAGTCTTCCATATGCCCATCTGATGAATGATGTTCAAATGAAAAGCCCCAAACATAATTCTAATATACTGATATATGGGATTTAAATTCTAAATATCTAAATTCTGATAAGAATTAATATATTTCTATTGTTCTTTATAAAGGCTATTAAACCTGACACTGACAGTGCTATAACATGGGATGGTAGAGAAGGGAAATAGTAAATATGATGTTTAATAGAGTTATTATATATTTATGAGCAAGGTGATGGCTAGGCCTCCTGAGGCTAAGGCCTTCTCTTAGACTTATACGCACATGTATGCATGTGACACATGTAATGTTAAAGTGTTATATAGAATTCAACTGCATGTGTATTTGATATAGAAATACAGTAAACAAATATTCGCCATAAACATGTATGTAATGAAATGCAGCAAAATACTGATAGAAGCTTAACCTTACAGAAGCAGTGTTAAAATCTAAAAATTGTCCCTGATAAAAACACCTCTTTGGCCTTCAACCATTAATAGGACTTCTGCCTTGGGAAATCTAAGATTATAGTCTCCTGTGAGACATTTTGGGCAAGATTTAGCAACGCTAAAGAATTCCAAGTTACTTTAGTTACCCCTGCTATACAGGTTTCTTCGGCAGCAGACAAGTAGCTATATACAGATATAAAATAGAATCTATGCATCATAGCCCATTATCTACAAACTATTCATTAATAACACGTTAACCCTGCATGGCCCAAATCATAGTACGATGGACAAGACCAAAATACAATTATTCATATATAATGAGTAAAGTAATAAAGGCAAGGAGTGTCTTGTTAAACGTTTTTACGTTGGGAATAATATTCATCATAGCATAAACAAACACGCTCAGTGTAATGACAATATGTCATGTTTATACATCATATAGAACTCACCTTATAAAATATCGCAGATTTCCACCGATATATTGTATATTTTCTCATATCCCAAACGTCCATATCTTTATCAGTAATGTATAAAGTAAAAGTCAATATGCAATTGCCATGTTCGCAATAAAAAACCAAATTTTTTATTCGAGATTTCTTTGATATACGTTGTAGATTCCTTCGCACAAGTATTCAAATTTCCCGCATGGTCTAAGCTCGAAAGGCATAATGGGTAAATGGAATAATTAGGCTCATAGCGTCAGGCAATTCTACCTGCAGGCAGGCTTAACCTATCGGAAGATAAGATTTTCGTAGATAAAAGCGGCATTATAAATTATAATTAACTTTGTCCTACATTAACTATCGCTTGTCAGCAATGCGTAAAGCCTCTTTGCAAGAAAATACCGGAAAAAGTTCAAAATCAGGGAGCCTCATTCCTATGTATCATAATTCGTTTTCAATAATATTTCCCTTCATTTTAAGCTAAGATTAAACTATTTGCCTTTCTAACAATGCTTTTACCATAAGTGGCCCAAAATTGCGTTAGAAATTTTTCGGTAATTTGTCAATATAATGTAGTAATGTATAATTACATATGGTAGGAAGCTCTTTCTTTACGTTACGAACCTTACCACTTAGACTATGGGAAAATAAAAAATTGACAAATTACCGAAAAATTTCTCGCCAATTTTGGGCCTACTATGCTTTGACATGTGAAATATTTTCACATAGGAAATTTCACATTTAATTTCATGTGAAATCATTTCACATGTGAGATATCACATGTGGCTTTATGTGAAATCCTTTCACATGTGAAATGTCACATATGACTCATGTGAAATCATCTCACATGTGAAATGTCACATGTGATTTTATGTGAAATCCTTTCACATGTGAAATGTCACATGTGATTTCATGTGAAATACTTTCACATGTGGAACTTCACATGTGATATCATGTGAATTTTCAATTTCACATAACATCACATGACTTCACATGATTTCACATATGTGATTTCATGTGGAATTTTTGTAAGGGTAGTGTAATTGTGTAAAATATCTAAAACGCTAACAATATTTGTACAATATTCTTGTATGTTTGCATGGTGACAGACGATAAGTAATTTTGCTTGTAGGTACACCACGTAAGTATTTTATACTGCAAAGCTTTCGGAGTTTCGGTACGTTAACCCGGGTCTTCATCAGTGCATCAGTGTTATAATAATAATAACGATTGCACTGACGAAGACCCGGGTTAACGGACCGAAACTCCAAAAGCTTTGCAGTATTAAATACTTACATGGTGTACCTACAAGCAAAATTATTTCTCGACTGTCACCATGCAAACATACAAGAATATTGTACAAATATTGTTAGCGTTTTAGATATCTTATTTTACACAATTACACTAATATTAGTTTTTGCGTCCTTTGTCATGAATCCCATTCCCTTCGAAGGCTACTTTATCTTACAGTTAAAAGCTAGTAAGAAATAAGAACTATTTAGGTAAAAAATCAACGCTTTATCTTAAACTAAATACGTTAGGCTTCTACACATCCTTAATAGCTATTGAACAATAATAAAAATATCTAATATTTATATGTACATGATGAATCGTGACAATAACATGTCGTGTGAATATATATAATTTAGATACTTGACAGTAGCATCCTTCGTTTATCACAATAGTTATATGAACAATTTTTAAACGAAATGTTGATTTTTGCACATGCCATACCTTATTCGCTTAACAGGTCTTTTATAGCAAGAAATGGCGGCGATATACAACGTCTTTATGCAATACGGATGTTAAAAGCAAGTTCAGTATATTCGGCCGACATACACTTTTGTGCGACGAAAGGGAAGATAGATTGCTTACCCTCTCACGGCGTTGACAAAGGCAGATTTTCCACAGCCACTTGACCCAACTAAGGCAAAATTGACATTACTTATATATTTGCCTTCGGATGTTGCCCTTTTGGACGGTAAATTACCCATTTAACTTGAATTTACACCCGTCTACAGTATGTCTGCTTCCGTTACAATAGTTCGTTCAAAGCGGTTGCCAACTGTACTGACCTTCAAGCTTATAATTCTTATGCTAATCAGTTCCAAGAAAACCCTCTCTCGCTTTGAATAGCAGAAGCAAAATGTAGCTATATAATAGATCGTTTGCATTAATTTTGAATTTTAGGGCCCGTTGTTCAAAAGCCGGTTAACGCTAACCTATATGGTTAAATTTTAAACCTCTTTAGAGTTGCACCGCAGAAAGCCCGGTTTCGTTAACCCTGACTTAAAATTAATAAAAAAAATTAACCCATATGCATATACATATATAGCACGCATGTGATTTAACTTTTTCATACTGGGTTAACTTTCAAAATGATAACTATATAGCGGAAACACGTAGATATGGACTACATTAAACACTTTTAAAAGATTTTATGAACAATTTCAGACAAGTTTGATTTCTCTCTGTTTTAGCATTTGTGTTGATTGATTTATCTTCACTTCAGTGCAATACACAATAATTATAAATACAACAGGAGAACTTAATTGAAACATCTTGACTCAAATATTTGTGCCCGATGTCAAGATAAAACGGTATAGATGAGACTCATCGCTTGTACAGTGAAACTGCGCCGTTGCCCTGCATGCACATGCACGAATCTCAATCTCTTAGTAAAGACAGTGGGAAGGTGGAGAGTTTCTAAGACTAACCCTGAGTTAGGGTTTACTATAAACCGAATAAAGGCAATGGAATTGTTCTGACAAATCTGAGAGTTTGCAAATTTGTTTTTCAAATAATTTTAAATAATTATATGAAGTTCGTAGAAAAATAGTTACAATAACAAATCAGAAATTATTTTGGAGCACATAATATTGCCAGACGAAAACAATATACATCAGTTGATTTTTACGCCAAGTGTATTTAATAATTATTTCTATGATTTCTATTAGCTAGTAAAGCTGTTTATACATAATAGATAAATATTAAGCTAGCTGAAGAACTAAAAATTGGATGACAGTTGCAAACACTGGTATAAGTTAGGACCGGCGATTCGTGTCATAATATTACTATGTGCATGCATGCATGTAAGATAAAACTCCAGAAAGTTCTTGCACAATAATCTAAGAATTATCTTGGAAACTATAATCGATAAATAACTATTGCAATAGGATTATCCATCTGGTAATTGCATTAAGATTATCAGTTGCGATAAGATTATCCATCTAGTCTCGAACAGGAAAAATTGCTTACGTGTTTAGTTATATATGAAGTAATATATCACTGACGATCATTTGATTATTGTAATTTTTCTTGTGCTTTTGCTTCTTTTAGGATTTCAAGAGCAATTTCTTCCATTTTATCCAAAACTTTTTCCATTGATCGGTACACGAATCTATAAGTTGTGTCGTTGACATCAGGCTTTCCTCCGTCGTCATCTCCCGGATAGAAGCTCTGTAGGAAGGATACGACATCTGTGTCTGAATTCAAACAAAATCTTTGCACCGCTTCCTGATGCCTGGGCGACAACTCTTTAAATAAATTTGAGTTTTGGTCTGGAAAACCAAGTTGTGATCTGCAAAAATTCATCTTTACAATAATGAGTTCAGTCCACCCTTTTGAAAAACTAGATCGAAGTGCAACTATCCATATTCGACCTAAAAGGATGATGAATAATTATATTGTCTTACATATACATTTGTTATATCAGCTAGTATAATTTATGTTTGCAACCAGTATCCATAAATGATGACCATTTAGTGAAAATGCGGTACTAAATGGACAAAAGAAGTGAAGAAATTTGGCCCAAAATTTTTTGATGTGAAAAAGCATGTTGTATAATATGCTGCTTACATTTTTGCGTACAAATTTTATAAAAATTATTTTAATTAAATATATATTATATAGGCGTATAAATTGTCGGCGGGGTGTATTAGCATATTTTTTCCCAATTCGAACGTCTCGGTTTTTAATTATTATTCGCCATTATTCGCCATATTTAATTAAGTTTTGAGAAGTTAACGATACTTTTGAGGATCATTAACTTTAACTACGTTTTAACTATGATTAACCCTAACCACCTTTTTATACAACTGGCTTATAACTATACGTGATTAATGTTAACGACGTTGTAATCACAAAAAGGTGATTAAAAAGTGATAAGAGCTTTTTACAACCGGACCCAGGTCAATGCCACCTTTAAAAAGATAAATGCAAACAGAGAATTCTTGGTTTCATAACACAGGGTATTAAAAAGTAACCAAAAAAAGCATGGAGTGTTACAGGCTTTGAATTTCGAGACATTTTATAAAATGTGTCTCCGCGGCACACTCGTGTCAACCAGAGCATTCCGTCCAGACAATTAAAATCTTGAACGTGTTTGCACGCTGTAAACAGCAATATCTGAGAATAGTCTATCTATATACCTTTTAGTTTGTTGACCTTGTTCTTTATGATGTCTTCAGAAAACAGTAGCATTGAAAAAAGAAAGGCCGCTCTTATACGAGACGATAGTCGACTTTTAAGTGCTTCCGTAAGGCGGCCGAAGTCCCATTTCAATGGGTAATGACTACTGATCACAAAGACGTCATTGTTTTCCAATGGGGCGCCTGCTGATTGTAAACTTTGCAAACAATGTGCTTTAATCTTATCAAATGTTTCTTCATCCTTGATCTGCTTTCGCCTTTCATTTTTGCAGTCGATATCGATTTTTGTGCGGGTGAAAAAGAAAGGTTTGTTATCTTCAGCAAGTTTCCTCGCTAAAGCTGCGTTAGACTCTGTAAATCGTGTAGAACTCATGATGATAAATGCGTCAAATTTTTCAATTTTAAATTTGGTGCAGAATGTGTCGACATCGGGAATATTTGGTGCACCGATACCTGGACAATCCCAAACTGTTATGTTGGGATTATGTGGATAAGAATACGGAGTAGGAATAGTTGTCATTTCGACCACTCCTGTTTTTGCTGCATTTGGGTCGTCGTCTTTGACGCTATAAGAAACAAAGAATAATAGTCTTAAATACTGTGACGCTATTACTAAAGGCTGCATGTGTGTAACTAAAATCTAATCTGAAATATAATTTTATGCCATGACTAAGTTTTTTAATAAGTGTTTAGCATTTCTGGCCGAATTGAATACCCATATAAAATATGGATTTCTGGTGTCGTTTCTAACTCACAGATTTGCTATTATTCTCTCATTCTTAAGCCGGGTTTCCACTTGCGAATTTTTTCGAGCGAGGCGATAATTTTTGAGGCAAAATATTTCGCGCGAATGGGTAATTGTTTTCCACAGGAGACAAAAAACGCGCGAAATACAAGCATTCTGTTTCATCGGTCGCTGTTTGTAACTCTCACTGTTTACGTCCAATAAACATCGATATTTTCGTACTTCTTCAAAGAAAATTCCTTTGTCAAAATTATCGGCTGTCTGCGGGGTAGATGGTTGGGAAATTGCATTCCTTTCATGAGTAAACTTGTTATTTAAGTTTCTATTTATATCGTTAGCAGATAACTCCTCAATATCCGCCATTTTGACAAATTAATTATGTACAAACAAAAACACTGAAATCTGATTGGCTAGCGATATTTTTCGCCGCGAAAAAGTAGAAATCATTCGAACTCAAATTTTCGCCGTGGCGAACAGTTTCGAATTCTATCGCCATGCATATATGACGTCATTTGAGAGATGCGCATTCGTAACCTCGAAAATTATCGCTTCGCGCGAAAAAATTCGCAAGTGGAAAACCGGCTTTACGCCTGTATTCAAAAAGCTCACTCACACTCTCACTCGTTGAGTGTGACATATAAATTTTGTTAATGCTGGTCAATGAGAAAGCTTTTTCTGAATAGATGGAAAGATATAAGGTAAATCACTGAAAATCAAGCCCCTATTCGGCTGGACATACCACCATTTAAGCGTTATGAGAAGATTAAGAACTCCCACTCCATGAGTTTGAGTGTGAATGAGCTTTTAGAATACAGGCGTAACTCTCCTGACGAAGGCTTTTAGGTCGAAACGTCGAAAAGTGTTTTTCTGCTTTAGGCATTTGTTATACCACTGCAGGGAATTAAGCTCAAATTTTTCGCCGTGACTACTAAAACCAGAATTCCCTGCAGGCGTCACGGCTTGATACGTCATTATGCATAAGATCAATTGTAACTGGGGCATAGCCTTAAAATTTCTGGCTGAAAAGCGGGTGATGTTAACTTCAGTTTTTGACCTTTGATATTTCCATAATATTAATGTTTAACTCGACGATCGTAGAAATCCAATTTATCTTAATCTTGATATAAAGTCTTAATTGCAGATACCATTACCCTCTTATAGCGTTAATAAAACTTGATTTGCCACTGCCACTTTTTCCGATAACTGCCACAGATATTTTAACTTTTTTCCACTTATTAAGCTCTTTCATTAGTTTCTGCGCAGCTTCAACCCCTTTATACTTAAAGTTTTCTGTAGCTCTGGTCATTCTGTTCACAAAGAATTGATGCCATGTAGCTACAAAAAGTAGTGACAATTTAAAATGTTTTTAAATTCTGTATTTCAAAGGTAATAATCATCTGGAACAATATTTCAGAAAGACGAAATATTACGTACCCATCTCAGGAACTGGTAGGACGTCGTTCATTGCCTGTAAGAGTTGAAAGAAATCCCACTTGCATGGATCATAGTTACTAATAAGAAATACCTCCGACGACAAATTCGTTTTTTCCAAAACATATTTCCGGACCTTGTCCAAGTAGACTTCTTCGTCGAACTCACTTCTATCTTTCTCCAACATGTATTCGTTATCAATTTTAGTGCGAATGAGAAAGAATGGCTTGTTGGTAGACTTGACTTTCTGTATTATTTCAAGATCAAGTTCTGTTACTCTGTGTGATATAAAAATCAGAAAAATGTCACATCTTTCCAACTGAAATTTCCTCCAATAGCTTCGAATTTTAAAATAGTTTGGTGTGCCATAACCAGGTGGATCCCAGAAGCTGACGAGTGGATTATCTCGGTCAATGTACTTCTCGGCTTTATCTTCTGTTTCCACAATATCAACCTTTGCTATCCTTTCAAACTCGTTATCTTTTGAATCGTCATCATCGTCGAAACTAAAGTACAAAATATTCAGGTTCAAAACACCTAAAATCTCTACAACCATTTAATTCTTATAATAGCCTAGTATTACAGTAACTATATTTCTCCGTAAAGAGTACAATTATCATAAACAAGATATCAGATTTGAAATATCACATGCCCAATACACAAACCAATGGTCACGGCCCACGGGTTCGTTTTTAGTTTGTTGTGATCAAGCTAATTTTCATCTTTCCTGGTTGGTAATCCAGGCAAGGCTGAAATCGACCCAATTATAAAAACTCTTTGACGTTAACTCTTGGCAGTTGGCACTGTCTGATTTAAAGGATAATTCATTTAAATTTATTTATTCTTGGAGGACGTTTTTGAAGTAGAATTATATCGACGAAAATTATTATTCTATATTCTATCCCAGTCCAGTCGATTCTATTGATTTTTGATGCCCTTAAACATCACAAACAAAGACCCATTCGCGGCTGAATACGCACGTTTCTGCCAATCTATGTGTTAGAGGGTTTTTGTTATATGCGCGAGGTTGGAGATCTTCACAATAGGTTAACTAATGTTCTTAATGTTCTCTTTTTGGTCTTCTGTTGCTCTTCTTTAGGATCTTCGTCGTTACTGTTCTTGTCTTTATCGTTGTTTCTGTACTGTTGAGCTTCTTAACGTTTCACATTTACTCCGCAAGTCCACTGAAGGTTTGGGTGTTGTGCACGTCCTTTTATAGTTACGGTTGAGGGACATCTGCACACGTTAACAACAAGAGTAGGCTGATCCTTATCCAACCAATCAGCGTTGTAAGTTAGAAATGTGGTTGGTCTTAGAAGCTCGATCCAGCTCTCATATCTTGTTTGTTTAAGGCGTTGTCGCACTAGTCGAGTTGGTCGTCTTAAAATATTTATCATCAACAACTATTGAAATTTCCAAACATTGCTTCTGTGAACCTTTTTTTACAACTTAACTACGTACTCATACTACTATTTTATTCGAATTAAGCTTTCTCTGTTGTTATGCTTAAAATGCTCGACCGCGCAGAATATAAAACACAATTAACTGACATAAGAGCTTTGCAGCTGCCTCAAGCATGCATATTCTTAAATGCAACAGTTAATTTTGGCAACGACGTACGACTGTTGATCCAGATGCGCCAGTTTTGACAGGGTGATTAATATCTTCACCTTACTACTTTCTTCGATCCCACGAAACGACATACATGAAAGGAGAAGTATTTAATGATTGCGAATGGCCGAAAATTATTTTTACTCATGTGTACTTTGTTGGCAAAAATTAATTATTTATCCGCGTCATTGCCAGGTGATATTTCCTATTTTTAACTATTTTTATATGCATATAACTGAACATACTAAAGCCTTGCGTAACATATGTATTCCGCCTTTAATAAATAGTACCATGCATGCTTTGATGATTGCAATATATTAATATATTGGTTGGTAGATTTCATTAAAAGAATAGTTATAAAACTGAGTTTCATATGCATGCATGATAGATGTTTCAGAATTACTTTCATTTACTATATTCATGTCTAATGTATAATTAATTTCAATACTCGTCATGGCATCGTACGTTTACAAAGGTTATAAACAAATATGGAATTCAAGATATTTTTTACTCTTTTCGCATCATATATTGATCAGTTTTGTTTGGCAGGAAATACGGATGATTCTTGACCTCTGTATCACACAAGAATTGTTAACTATGAGTGAAATTACTTTCATATTTTGAGACAAAGCTTCCTTCAAGAATAGTGAAAGTAAATTGCTTACCCTCTTACAGCGTTAACAAAAGCCGATTTCCCACAACCACTTGACCCAACTAAAGCGAATGTGGCCACTTTGGTCTGTAATGTACCCATTTCGATTAAGTTTGTGCTCGAATAAGTGTGCTTGAAAATTATCCTTGCAGTGTTTACAAGGTATTGCAAAATGCATTAGCCGTAACGTTTATGATTCTTATGCTAATGACTCTTGAAAAAACACGTTTGTCATTCACCGAACCCTACTAACCTTTGTATCCACAAGGAACACCCAACTTGCCACTTCCCACACAGTTTGATAAAAAATCAGCTCGGACCAAACACTAGAAGTAGAAAAATCTATTTCAAGAGAAAGAAAAACAAGACCTTGAAGAAATCTTTATGAAAAAATCTTATATTAGAGTAGAAATACATGCGTGCAGCAACCCCTCGCTATTTCAGCCAATTATACACAATTTTCTGCGCTAGCCCGACATAAATAAATTATCGTCTTTTTGTAGGGTAAAGACTAAAGTGCATGTAGCCAATATTTCTATCATTCTAGCTGTCATAAAGCGTATAGCCCTTTAAGTTTTTGCTCCATTACGCTATTCAGCAGGCAGTTAAAGGATCTTGCGGCAATAAAGTAAATATTTAAAATTTCAAACATGAAAACAGTACAAAAAATCTTCAAAGACAAAGACTAAACGTCGAATTTTATTTTGTTTTGTACAGTGTCTATCGACTTTTGCTCCAATAAATTTCAGTGACTTTTTAAGTGAAATCGATGTGTGCAAGCCTATCTTAGTTGGTTATGCCTTTGCAAATCGACATATCAAGCTGAAATAAACTGCATCCTAACCAAGATGAAAAGATGCAATAAACAAAGTAAACACGTACCTTTGTCGTTTACAGACTATGAATTATTTCTGTTCCACCTATATTAGTCTTGAACTGTTCCATGTTTTCTTCATAGTCATCTGTTATATATCGCCTTTATCTTGTTTCTTCACATTTTATTTTCACAAAGTTTTTAAAGCACTAATACAAACTTTCCGTCTTAACCAATCAGAACGTTACTGATCTTCACTCGTTCAATTTTCTGACCGTCCACCGTCTATGACATCCCATTTGGACAACTTTTGAGTGAGAGTAAAACTTGAAATCCATCTCATAAGAGATAGTTCTAAATTTAAAACGATAATGTTTTAATACCGCATTGCAAATGCAATACCAACATTCTGCCACTATAATATCTGATCACGCAAAAAGTTTACTTATCACTACTATTTGAAATTTGAATTGCATTTGTCCTTATCTAGCTCTGTATCGGAGATTTTAGTTTTGTTTCGTATTCCACAGTAGCTCCTTGGTCCCATGTTGTAAGACATGGGAAGTTTGAAATTATGAAGACAAATGCCCTTCGACTGTAGATAAGTACAATATATTTAATTTAAAGTTAAACGAGACTTACCTGGAAGTTGAAGTTTGATGATAATTCTACCAAATCCGTAGTTGTACTGAGGGTTAACATGAGATGCACGCGGTGTGTCGTCGTGAGTCAGACTTTGAAGAAAACTGTTGTGGACACAATGTCCCACACTAGAACAAAGGTTATTAGCAGAGGGCGGGTAGGGATGGGCATGTTAACCCTCAGTACAACTACGGATTTGGTAGAATTATCATCAAACTTCAACTTCCAGGTAAGTCTCGTTTAACTTTAAATTCTACCAAATCGTAGTTACGTACTTCCGGTTAACATGAGATTTCAAAGCAATTGTGGACACAACGTTCAAGCAACATAACAGGAAATTGACGCAATTTATTGCAACACAGCATTTTGATAAACATTATCATCAACAACAGGTTTGTTATAAAACTTGCGAAATACTGAGTCTGATGACCAACCAACATGTTTGAGTATTGAATCTACTGGTACTGTTCCTCGTGCTTTGCTTACACTCGCTGCTCTTGTACTATGAGCAGTGAACACTGCAGTGTCAACGCCACTAAGAGTTAATGTTTGCTTGATCCATCGACCAACTGTACTGGTACCAACTGGTTGGTGTGGTTTGGCATAAGAAAGTAGTAGCCTGGTAAATGCAGGCTTCCGAAGAGCTGATGTTCGGTCCAAATAAACTTCTAACGTTCTGTAGACACATAGTTCTGCTACTTGATATTTGCGCACATAAAGTGTTGAAAACACATGACCAGGTCGATTTTGTTTAAGATGGTCGGTAAGATGAAACAGATAATACTGTTCCGTCTTTTTCATAGCCGTAGTAGCCAAACATGTTAAAGCATGACATCTTTGTCCTGATGTTAGAGCTAGTAACGTGACAAGTTTGAATGAAAGTTCCTTTAAAGACAATTCATCGAGAGGCTGCATGGTTGCCAGATAATCCAGCACCACATTTACATCCCACGTTTCAGAATACTTAGGTGTTGGTTTCCTGGAATTGAAAACTCCTTTCAAAAACCGAACAATGAAAGGATGCGTCGCCACCGTATAATTCGTACCAGCAAACCTAGCATCCATTAAATAGCTTGATAACGCTGAACGCGCTGTGTTAATAGTCGAATAAGATCATTGTTGTTCAAACAAATTGTTAAGGAAAGTTAATACGTCATTCACAGAGGGTAACATTGAATTAATTTGTTCTTGAAAACAAAACTTGGTCCATTTGTTGAGGTAGACGTTGTATTGTTTCTGAGTAGTTGGTCTCCATGATGACATGATGACGTCGGCAACTGGCGGAGAAACGCTGCATTCAAGGATGTTGTTCCTGATATTTTGCATGCCATTAACAGTAATTTGGGGCTCAGAGGGTGAATGTGACCGTGCAGAGGATTGAATAGAACATTCGCCGTTACCCTGAAAAATCGGGGGCACTCGATTAACAAACTTAAAAGTCTGGTGAACCATACCTGAGTGATCCACACTGGCACAACAATGATCATGGTAATCTTCTCCTGAACAACTTTTTGCAAACACCTAGCAATTAAGCAAAATGGTGGAAAGGCATAACTGTTAGAGAACCTGGTCCAATTTACCGAAAAAGCATCAACAAAGGATGCATGAGGATCCGGTTTCCATGAGATATATACTTCCGTTTGTCTATTTAATCGACTGGCAAACAAATCAACATCCGGCTGAACGAAATGCCAAGCAATTCGGGTAAACTTGGACGAGTGTAACGTCCACTCTAAGGCGATATTAAATTCTCTCGAAAGTTTATCAGCAATAATATTTTGTTTCCCCGGAGTAAAGGCAGCGGACAACCAGTTATTGTGAGCTATTGCCCATAACCAAATATCTTTACTAACAGTGTCACACTCTATAGATTTGCATCCTCCCATTCCATTTATATAAGCGACCGCTGTGGTGTTATCTGATTCGATGCGGATGTGTTGATTTCGAGTTGCATGAAGCAGTGACCGTAGACCAAATTTTATGGCTAACAGTTCTAAAACATTTATGTGAATTACAGCTTCTTGTGCGGACCAAAGTCTCTGTGTTGTGTTTGTGCCAACTATAGCACCCCAACCTAGATGGGAAGCGTCAGTTGACATAACAATGTTAGGTATACCATGATCGATAGTTCGTGACGCTGTCGGAAGGGAGGAAACCCACCAATTTAGTTCATCAATACTAGCTTGTGATAAACAGGTTTTGGCATCAAAATCGCTCGAGCCCCCTGTAATATAGAGGGCCCAATTCAACTCCTGGAAACGTAGAGACCAGAGTACCAATGAGGGAGGCTAATTCTCGTATGGTAGACCGTTTTGCTCGTAAAAATTGCAAACATGTAGCTATGATTTTGTGATTTTCTTTTCTGGGAGAGAAACCGTCATAGTAAGAGAACTTAACAAAAACCCCAAAAATTCCAAACTTTGGGTTGGCTGAAAAACTGATTTGGTAGGGTGTGGCACGAACCCCAATTGGACAAACAAATTAGTGGCATTAAACGTAGCATCTTGGCATGATTGAACAGTATCCTCGAGATAAATGGAGTCATCAATATAACCTAGGCACGAGTGGCCATATTGTGATCGTAAAGTTGCAAACACAGGCTTCAGAACTTTAGTGAAAATGCGCGGGCTACTCGTTAGTCCCATTGGTAATGCTGTAAACTGATAGAGTACTCCGCGCCAGCAAAACTTAAGATATTTTCTATCTGCTGGTATAACTGGGATAGAATAGTATGCGTCTTTCAAATCAATAGTCGTCATAAAGCAGCCAGGTTTCATCATTTTCACAGCAGTTTCTAATGTGTCCATTTTAAACTTTCGGTAAGTAACAGCTTCCTTAAGTTTCTTAAGATTAAAAATCACTCGAAATTTGCTGATTCCTTTTTTGGTCGAATGAAAACAGGTGAAATAACCTCACCAGGCTCGTGCGCTGTATGTTCAATAACATGTTTGGATAAAAACTCGGTAACTTCTTTATCAACAGCATGTTGTTCCGGTTGTGATAATTTATATTCCAAATTAAAGCTATGTCCTGTTGGTTCATAATCAAAACTCAATTTTATAATTAGTCACACAACTTAATACAAACGGGTCTGAAGTAATTCTTTCCCAATATTCAAGATGGGATCTTAGTTGCCCAGCCATAAAAGGTGGTTGTTTGTTAATCAATTCATTTATTCTATTAAATTCTCTGTTGCCCGACAAGGCGAGAACGAGGGCATGGGTTAGAATCGTTCTAACCTCCCCGTTTGACTTTCCACAAGCTTGAATAATAGCATAAATGGATGACATAAATAATTTCTGACACTTTTGCATGGAGCTATCCGCTGTTTTAGTCCCTTGCTTAAGCTGGTGCCAAATAACTTTGTTAACTTTTGGCGTTACAAGCAATTGACAGTTATCTGGTCGAAGATACTTCTCAAGTAACTCTTCGATTTTCAATTTAGGTAATTTGTTTGTAACAAGATCACGGACAACCTTGGCGTATTTTTCGTCAATTGCTGGCGCTGTTTTATCCGCTGTAGAAAATTCAGCTGCCAATTCGTCAAACGAGCTCACTGTGTCTTCAGTAGCATCAGTCGTTTGGAGTTCAGTCGAGTGTGACTCATTAATTGTCTCCTCACTTTCATCGCACACTTCATCGCCGACGACATACTGTTCGAATTGCTTGAAAATATCGTCTTTCATTTGAGCCATCATTTCTGA